CTTTCCTTTTTTTTTTTTTTTTTTTTTTTTTTTTTTTTTAAAGTCTTCTATCTCAAGCAGCAGCAATATAAAATGCAAGCAAACCACTAGGATAATAAGGAAAGAAATGGTTACACTCTGCAATGCCTGTGAGGACTTCAGAGCATATTCTTACTTGGGAAACTGTGGTCTGGTTCTGATTACTGCTGTATCAGGAAAGAAATACAGTGGATTTTCAAGCAAGTGATAACATTAAGTGCTAAACCTCTAAGGGAATAAGGATGGCTGTTTCCATCAATAGTTAACCTCTCATTTCAGCCAAGAACAAATACTTCTGCTGCACAATACACAATTAATTTTTAGAACTCCTGTCAGAAGGATATCACTGAAGCCAAGATCTCACTTTGACTCAAAACACAAAGACCCAGCAGGACTGTCAAACTCTACTGGTATAATACATATAGCAACCAAAATCTATCACCTCAGTAAGCAGGGAAGAATTTTGACATATACCATTTCCTGAAATATGAGTGTTCATGACTGGGAATTAGGAGAAAACTTCCCTGCAGGTAAAGCTAGAGGACAACTTTTGGTTGTGGAGGCGTCTCATTATCTTTCACAGTCTTTGATGCTGGCCACAGCTAGAGATCACACATTGAACATGAGGAATCATTCTTTTAATTGGCAATGCCTGTGTTCCTACAAAAGAATTGTTATACACATGCTGGATACACACTGCCTACGGCCGGGAATCTTTAAAGAGGCAGGTCCTTACTCCACCTCTTGCTCACTGTAATTTATACAAAACAAACATTGCCTGATAGTAAACTCCTAGCTAATCACAGCCAGCTCTTTAAGTTGTTCTAAAAGAAGTTTCAAAAGATTTAACACTTTGCTGGCTCCCTTTAAAATAGTTCTAAAAACATAAATAACAAATAATTGTAAAAGTATTAGTTTACATACATTAAAGTAGGGTGATTGGAAAACTAATATTTTCACTAAAGTAACATTCACAATGGTATTTTACATTCTCATGACAACAACACACCAATTTAATATTCTCCAAAATGGATTTCCTACTGTAAACAGAAATTAGAGCACTACTGCTTAATTTTTCAGAGCAGTTCCTTTTCAGCTAGCTTTGTTTACAGACTTAATTAATCCACAATTACACATATTTATTCTGGTATTTACCAGTTTGGAATTGTCCTCTTCCTGGAACATGGTTCTTTTGTCAAGTACCTCAGTATGATTTAGCAAGGACAGGTTTACTGCTGAGCCAGCCGGGAAGCCCTTGCCAGCAGCCACACTAACAGTGTTGGATCAAGCAGCAGAGATACTTAAGGATGACATTGTGAGCGTTACCTGCTCCCCAGAGACCAATTCTGTCTCTTCTGCAGCATATCCAAACTCATGCAAGGTCAGCTGAGAAACTCCTAAATCAACCTTTAAGGTCTCTCAAGCATTTATGAGAGTCAGGGTGCTGACATTTATGCAGGCAGATAATGTGTGTCAGGTGCAGCTCCTCCGCCAGCAGTCGGGCAGATGGTAGCACCAGGTGCTCGGGTTGATAGAGTTCCTCCCCGTCGATTCCAAACTGCCTATTTCTTTTGCACTGCAGTCTCTGCCAAATGTGATAAATATTGAACGTACTTGTTTTCTTATTTACCTGAAGATTCCTCAGTGGTGTGCTGAGTACTGCCTCTCCAACCGCTACCAACACGGGGTGGTTGTATGCACCCAGGTGCACAAGCGGACAGCGGTGTGGCTGGCGTGGCGCGTGGCCGATGAAATGGATGTCAACGTTGGCCACGAAGTGGGGTATTTCATCCCGTTTGAAAGCTGCTGCACAGCAGAAACCATCCTGAGGTGTGTATTTGGTTTTTAATCCTGTTAACTTTATAAATATGTTACCATTTTTTACAAGGAACCTGCAAAAGTCAACAGCAGACAGCACTTGAGTAATTAGCTCTTTATTACATGAATGTAAGAAATTGTACAAGGCATGAAAGCCATTATGTGCCCAATCACGGTAAAGACTTAAAAAGGATAACGTTACAGCTGGTGCAAGTCCTGATTAGGTACCTTAGTATCCGCTCTATTGCTCTAGTTTTTCTTTCTCCTTCTGGTACAGAGTATTCATAACCATAAGAGAAAGTGAGAAAATCTGTCACAGAAAAAAAGCTGGAATGTAGAAGCAATCAAAGTATTGTCTGCTTGAGATGGAAAAAGCCATGGTTAGAAAAGGGTATATTCAATAACAAAAGAGAAATCATTTAGGAGGATTTTTTAAGGGATAAGAAAAGCACCTAACATGTTGAACGTGGGCTGAGAGCAAAAACACAGGGATTCTAACTTTGAGCCACCCCAACAGTTAGTGGAGTTCTATCAAATCACTTTCTTTGGCTCCTTAGCATGGCAGGAATAAGCAATAAAATTTAGATCACGAGCCTCACTCCCAACCACATGAGCTCACACTGATCTCCAGGGAAGCCAAGGGCACTGCTTGCTTCTGAAAATCCAGTTCAATAGCTCTTCATTTCACTTGTCCTTTCTCTTCCATGGAGAACTGGGTAATGCCCTTTCTGCAGCTGCACATGACGTAGGAGGGAGATGAATCTTATACTCTCTTGGATGTCCAAGCAGGTTTCAAGACGGTTCAAAGCTCTGCTGAGCAACACAGCAAAAAATAATCCCCTTGTAAAAGTGTTTGTATAGTAAGAACATTATGAATAACAGAGGGGAGGACATTACAATATGAATTAATCTCTCACCTTGGTTCCAGCATTGCCTCAGTATGTGTGTACTTTTTGACCTACCTAAAAGTATTAGTTTCTAGCTCAAGGATTAGTTATGCAAGATGCATAGATAGTTTGGAAGATGAAAAGCAATATATGTCACAATCTTAAGCTACAAGTATTTCTTTTTTTTTTTTGCCTACAGCATCCTTTAAAACATATTGCCACTTACTGTCATTGACTTTTGTTTTTAGCTATTTAAAAATAGCTTTAAAAGTATAATTCTTTTGAGACTGTATTTGAAATAAAACTATCAAAGAGGCTGTATTTTTTATCAAAACTTTATTGTTAGAACAAAAAGAACAAGGTCTTTGCTGTCCTCAGTACCCTGAAATAATATTGCAGAATCAAATCTGAATATTCAAGCTACACATTTGGTAGCTTTCTGCTTTTATATTGCAGATACTGTACAGACGACGTGCTGCAAAGAGAAATGATGTCTGTTCCTCTCCTCAACTACTATGGAGTCATCATCTTGGATGATGTGCATGAAAGAACTGTTCCAACTGATGCACTACTTGCCCTGCTTAAAGTTGTCTTAGTATCACGGCCAGAACTGAGGCTGGTGATACTCACTGCTCCCCATATGTCCAGCAAATTGCAGAATTATTACGGCAGTGTCCCCATCATACGAGTGCAAAGCAAACACCGCACAGAGGTTGTATACACTTGTGGCATCCAGAAAGACCACTTTCTGTCTGCACTAAGGCTGCTCTTTGAGATACACCATGCGAAAGAGAAGGGTGATATTGTGATCTTCCTGGCATGCGAACAAGTAAGTTCCTGATTCTAATAGTTCTGATTTTAATCAAGGAACAGTTTGTAGACCATATGAAAACTCAAATGTGAATATCTTGTTGCTGATATCTACGTTCCTGGACATGATAATAGTTTCTGTCACTTCAGGTTCTCCATATTACTCCATGCAGACACTGTGACATGCATACTGCTTTACCACAGACATGGCATAGACTACTGCAAGGAATTACCAGATGTTCTCTAAGCTTAGAAAAATGCCATCAGTCTTCTCTGATCTGGAATATGAAAAGTAGCAAAGGTGGCATTCATGACGAGGACCATTGATTCAAGGAGTTAAGACACTGCAGACTATTCTGGCATTGGGTAGATCACAATGTTATCACCCTTCTGCAGTAACACACATGTCCAGCATGCATATAAGTCCCATTTTTAAGTTTAAACCTGCCTGCAAGTTTTTTCAATGTTTGGTGCTTCTATTTTTGCTTGCAGACTTCTCAGCCATTTGTATGCTCCAACATCTTTAAAGCTTTTAAAGCTGGTGTTTTGTTAACACAGCTTAAGAACATTTTCTTGACTTTGTCCATCTTCACAGAACTTATTAACCCAGTTGGCAGCGGCTGCCTGTGCCAGGTGTGCGCTGTGCATACACAGAGCTCACTGCTCTCTCGAGGACATTGCCACCCAAGGCTCCCCTTGCCCAGCTTCAGCATTTTGAGGGCACCAGCACGTGTCATGCAGCACTCCCAGGTCTAAGCACACAACATGCCCACCAAAATAACTCCTCTTCAGCACTTACTCACCAATGCGAGCCCTACAAACATGAAGCTTGATCCTTGCTGCTCCCATACAATCCTTACGGACATCTGTCTTTCCCAGAGCTTGGCTTGGCCATGGTTAAAACCAGAGAAAAAATGTTTAGAAAACTGCACAAAAGACAACATTTCAAAAAAGAGTACAGCCATTCCCTAGTCTATATATACTGTAATAGAGTCGCTGGGTTCTTGCACATAAATCTATTCCATTTTGTTTTTCCCTTTAATTTAGATGATTCATGTTGGATTTAGCTGTTGTTATGGTTTGCTACCTAAAGTTCATTTTAGAAWAAATAAATGAGTTTGAAATTAGATATTGATATTTTTAATACTCATAAGAATTTTTCTTCCGATTATAGGAAATTGAGAAAGCCTATCAAATTATCAAACGAGAAGAGTCTAATTTAAATCCTGACCTTGGAGAACTCATCCCAATTCCTTTATACCCCACAAGAAAAGACTTCATTCCCAAACCAAAACAAGATAAACAGAAATGCTGCAAAAAGTACAGAAGAAAAGTGCTACTAACTACAAGTTTTGGAGAATCTTTAGTTTGGATAAAAAATGTAACATTTGTCATTGATGTCGGAGTTGAAAGAAGGAAGGTTAGTAAAACAACCAAAATCAGTAAGTCAACAAAGAATTATGTGGGAGGGGAGAGGGGCAGGTAATGAAATGTGGATAGTTTCTAAGAGATCAAGTATTTTTCCATTCTTAAGTCAGATTCCACAAGATTTTTCCACATTTGTATTACCAAAATATAACTATTTTGGAGACATTTTATGTGAAAACAAAGTAAGAAAGACCCACTTCTTAAAGAAGCTCCTACTCTTTCCGCATACACGTTTGGAAGGTGCTAAGGACACCTACATAGTGTCCAAATGCCTCAAAATGCTGAAATTCATTGAAATAATCTGTAATCACAATCAGTTAGTTGGCCTTGGGTTAGTTTAGACAGTAATATGGAAACAAATGGTTCCTCACACTTTAATTGCAAGAAAGTGTGAGAATTACCACACAGACACACATACACACAAAAAGTCAATATTTTTTCTGAGAAGAACTGAAGTTTAAAAGCAGTTTTCATGTGACCATGCATGGCCTAAATTATTGCTGAAGCTATAGCCATTTTCAATGAATGACAATGAATGAATCTTACTGCCACTTTTATCTGTAGCCCAAAATAAAATTAAGTGTTTGCAGACTTCTGTGAATCAAAATATGAAGTGATGGAAATTAATTAGTTTCAATGTGTTCCTGATGGCCTTCAAATCACAATTCTATCAAATTCTGTCAATACTCTATCAATAACACAATTTGTACTCTTTAATTGAATTACTTCTTCATAGCCATTAAAATTAGTTATATAATATTCATCCCTCAGTGATTGACTTTCAGCCACATGGATTAAATATCAATTCAACGTAGAGGGAACAGATGAGATACATGCAGAGGGAAATCTCAGGTACGTACTTTAATAGGGACATGTTGAATTTACACAGCAGGGAAAAAGTTTAAGCTCCTTAATTTAATCAAAATAAAAGCTGGATTAAGAAAAATTACAAGGTGGCTCTGTATCCCTTTACATCTTTGTCACAGTCCCTGTTTTTTAGGCTGGATTGAAAGATTTTGGTATTAACAATAAAAATCTGAAGTTACGATGGAGCAGAACATTAGACAGTGTCAGGACTGTCATAGGAAGAAACAAACGAACTTTCTGATGCATTTCCTGATATATGGATATGTGTGGTATGTKTTAGCAAGGTGCATTTATTTAGAAAGAAACATTCATCTTGGAATATACTTAGCAGCTATTGAAAAAGTTAAGTCTCTGACAATTTACTGAAGTGCTCACTGCTCTCATTGCAGAGCCACTTAAATATGTAATGGAGAAAGAAATGGAGCTGCTATTACACATTCTGTAAAATAACCTAGACGAGAATTCTGCATGGACCATGAATATTTGCATTGTCTGATGCCTAATATCTCTCTCATTTAAAGGTATACAATCCTAGAATCAGAGCAGACTCTGTTATAATGCAGCCTATCAGCAAAAGTCGAGCAGAGATGCACAACCAAATTCTGGGAATGTCTTCATCAGGTAGAATTACTAGCTCAAAATTCAAATTAATTAGCTCAAAGAAATAACGAAAGTCAACAAAACAATTTTAAAAATGCTTTTTTTTTTCCATGAAATGTCTTCCAGGAAAACTCTTCTGCTTGTACCCTGAAGAATTTACATACAAAGAAATGAAACCACATCTACCAGCCAAAATACAAGAATCAAACCTAACCAGCCTGGTTCTCTTCCTAAAGAGGATGGATATAGCAGGCTTGGGACACTGTGACTTCTTAAGTAGACCAGGTAATGATAATGCAGCTATTCTCCAAGTGCTTTATGCTTTGCTGGTATTTAAAGATGAATTTTGCTGTTATTCACAGTGCTGGTTTTAACAAATATGACGTACTTAAATTATTACTGCTCCCACCTTTACCTTTAYCTAGTAGCCCTGACAGTTCTGAGTACGATAGTTGTACTTACAAAAACTGCAGTGTTGCTCTGAAAAATCCTTCAGAAAGTATCTGAATGGAATTGAATGAAGAAAAAAAAATAATAYTTAGAGCATATTCTCATGTAGTGTTCATATTATTTTCCTGAAGGCTACAAAGAACACTTGGGTCCCATTGTACAAGGCATTGTACAGATATGCTCCTTTAATCAAAAGTGTACATTCCAAATAAACTGCTAGTGTTACCTAGGAGATTCATTTAGAGAAGCACAGCTTTGTTCTGATCCCCCGGCATCTCATATCTCAAATTTAAAATAAGCTCTTGCCCAAGGATATGATTTATAAAAATAAATGGAAATAGCTTTCAATACTAGTCAGAAAATACCCTAATTTTGAGGGTAGAATGCAAAGAAAGAGATTGGTTTTTTATTTTACTGACTTATTTTTTTGTTTTATTGCACTGAAAGGATATTCGTTTTTGTTCTAATCTACCACAAAATCCATCTAATTGCAAACTCCTCTGTGGATCTGAAGCCTTTTAAAAATGAGAGAAATAATACTGCTGCCTTCATTGGTTTGGGAATGATGGATTTGGGGATTTCTTGCTAGCTTTATTTGTGACTCCTAAACTGCCCTCCCTTTCCTCATATATATACACACACACAGCAAATTAGATCACTAGTCCTTATCATGTTGGGCATCATAACTAATCAGTAGCAAAGAGTTTAGCTCCCACTGTTGGGTGCAGTGATATATTCTAAGTGTAATTCTTAGGTGCAATACACCCCTGGGCAGGTGACCAGTGGAAACATGTCTAGAAGAAGGGTGAAAAAAATCTTGGTCAATTTGACAGGTAACTAATGCAAGATAGATGAGGATCAGGTGTTACCTCCACTCCTGACTCCAGGAAACTTTCATGGAAAATGGTTATGGATTACAGCTGGCTTCTATTCAAATCTAGAAAGTGTTTCACTAAAATCTGTTTTTTTTATATATATATAATATATATAAATAAAATATATTATATAAATATATACACACAATATATGTATATATACACACACATATATAYATAAACTAATATTTTTAAGAAAGTTATTCTTTTGCACTAGCATGAATTAGTAAATGTACTTTAGGAAAAGCATCATTATTTTTGGATTTAAAGGCAATAGCAACATACTATTCAGTATAAAAAGCTAGAAGCATTTAAGGATTTCACAGATGTAGGAATTGTTTTGTCTGTATTTCTGAGAAAATGCAGCTGAAGAAGAGATACTGCTGATGTGAACAAAACTGTAAAGGCATCTGATGAATACTTCAGTTTTACTTGGACTGGCATCAAATATGAAAAAGTTGCTGCTAACAAGACAGCAAGTGCAAGTTCAAGGTATTGAAGAGTTTGAGGCTTTATTTAGGAGTGTGAGGAATGCTGGACAAATTATTGGAATAAAGAAAACAAACACTATGGAGTTAACTGGAAGAAAGTGAGAACGTCTGTAGAATTTCCTGCCCACCTTCCTGTTGTAAGGCCCTATGTAATTAAACATTTTAGACATTGTTTTCACTTTCTATTACAGCTCTTTCCATCTTTAGGACAGGTCACACAGATGTGTTGCCCTTTAACTTTCTTATTCTCACCTCTGACTGGGCAACCAACCACATTCCAACTAAACCTTTAAAAATCTCCCTTCCACAATTCTCCAGAGACAACTATGAAATTTGAACTCTTTGAACATGGACAGCTTGAAATACCCAGTGTAAAATACTTCTGCTGACACAAGCAGGACTACTGCAGTGAGCACATTTGCAAARGGAGATAGATGCTGTACTAGGCGAGCTGACAGAACTCAAAACACATGCCAAGTGTTGGAGCAAACAGAAGACAGTCCCTGCTGACAACCTGATCGATGGTCTTGGTGTGGAAAGTCCACGTTTCCTTGTTCTGCACTGAGAGCCCTGACGTGCTGAACCCCCAGCTCCATGCAGTAGTCACCTCCAGCAGAACCAGAGAGAGACCTTCAAGTCCTATCACCCTTGCTGCCCAGCTCCAAATACTGCTCCCACGCAGCTGAAAGAAACCTCTGACTAATTCATCATGAGCCCTGAGGCCCAAAGCCTSCTGGATTAGCTGCCGCAGAGGAGCGTTGCAAGGGAGGCGAGGAGGCACGCAAAGGATGTCAGCTTCCCAAGAAGGCTACGTCACCTTTGCTTTAGTTACATAAGCTTTCTGTAATCCAAAGTGAGGAAGGAGCTTAAGCAAGAGGGAATATCCAAGATACAGGCCTAAGTAGAAAAGACAAGCGCCAAGCTCCTGAGATGAGTAATGAGGCTAATGAGGCTTCTCTGACCCTAAGGAGACTTCTCTGGAGAAAAGGTCTTATTTACTACCAATGTAAGCAAAGCCAGTCTGCCCATCCTCAGGCAAAAGTAGTATAAATTCAACTGGACACGCACACACACACATATTTCTGCATGCTCTACTCATTTGACTTGCCCCAAATAAGTTTCTATTCAGAATGAACAGTTATTAAAACAACCAGCCTTGCAGCTATGTTTCTCCCGAGCATAGTTTGTCCTGCACTTCGTTATTCCATAACTCTTCTGCTCCTTGGACCCAATTTCCTTTTAACTGAAGGGAGCACATACATAGCAGCATCTCCCATATGCTACTCACAGTAAAGCAAAATGCTAAAGGCTTTGCTGTGATTCATTCTGCCCAGTTACCACTGTGAAGTTTTCCTTGCAATCAAAACAGATGGAGGTATGGTTTTTGGTTTTGGTTTCTTGGGTTTTTTTTTTTAAATCAAAGGTGATTTTTTTCTACACAAAATATTTTCACTGTGGTGTCAGAGCAGTGCATGAACATAAACTGCTAAAAAGAAAAAAGCCAGAGGTACACTGAAATTCATAAAAGAGAAAGCAAGGTGCATAATATAGTAAGAATTCAGAGAGGTACTTCACAGTCTGTTCCCTATACATGACAGTAAAGGATACATAGCAAACAAGAAGAAGAAATTACATCACGAAAGCATTTTATTTCTGCTCAGGAACAATATGCACAAGCTTTCTCCCTGCTCTTCTTTGAGGTAAAATAAAAGCAAGGATTAACTCTGACTCATTACAGCGTTATGAAAAGCAACAAACATGTCAGGCTTCCAGCTGCTGCGTTTAAGTCATGCCATAATCGAAACGAGCACATTCAGCAGACTCGTTACCCTTTTTAGAATTCATGAGCCATATGAAAATGGATTTGGCATCGCACTTCTGAAGTACATTATTTGAATTCCTGTGCCATTATAATCGCAAGGTCTTTACATTTTTATCAGTTAATCAACTAGATGGGAGACAAAAGAATTCCTTTCCCATAAATTGCAGCCACATTATGTATGATTTTGTAAATCACTGGAAAATTCTTTATTTAAACTATGCAAATCAGTAKAAAAACTAAGCCATACAAAATTTCCATGAGAAAATAGTCAAGGTGAAAGCAGATGGCACATTCTGCATTCATGCAGAACCATCACAAACAATTTTCAAATTAAAATCTCTCCTTGTGGTCACGGATGCCATGACATTTAAGAGCTGTACTATTGTAACACTAGGAATAAATTTCTAGAATATCCACAATATCACTTCAGACTGTTTCAGAGATGAAGTTTGTTTCCTCCACTCCTTTTTTTTTTTTTGTTATTAGAAGCAAACTATGTCAAAGAAACTCCTTTAGAAGGTCTGCTTCTGAACATAGATGCAYCTTCACAATGCATCTTCAAAGTAGATTCCTTGTATTAATGTTTTAATTTTTGAATCCAAATAAATAGCTTAATGTATCTCATAATTAAAATGCACATACCTGACAGGTCACAGCTCTTAAAGCTCTGGCCATATGCTGTAACTGCTCCATAAAAAGCATCCTGCTAAAGCTGGGCTACTCTTACCTTATTTACTAGAGAGAAACAAAGGAAACCAGAGCTGGAAAACTTGTTAAATTATGCACTTTTTTAAGATCTGCTGCATACTGCAGAGTCATCTACATGCTCTGAGCATGACACAGAGCAGATAGAAAAGGGGCTTCACCGAGCAGTGATGACAAGTCCGCCTGTTTGCAGGGGAAGCTCTGGCCAGTCGCTGACCCGCCAGGGCCTCGTGGCACAAAGGCACCTCAGGGAGCATTACGAGGCAGCTTCATCGTGGCGACACAAACAGGCTTGGGGAAAACTTTTTGAATAATTTGAWGGAAATCTGCCATGGGATTTCCTCATAATCTTCCTTATCCAAGGAGTAAAGCTAAAAAGCAATGACAACAGAAAACATATTTCTCTAGAACTAGTCTCCTTGCAGTAAAGACCTTGGCAGTTCCTCATACTACCAAGTATAACTGGAAATCCTATTTCATTTCTATCCCTAAGATTCTTTTTTTATTATTATTATTTACATTTATTATTTGGTACATCGCTACACTACTTGCTTTCTTATGGAACAAGAACAACACCTATATGTTTATTTTGTCAAATAGCAAAGTTTACCATTTCAGTCATTTAAGAGGGATACAGCAAAGATTAAAGTCAAAGGTACCTTTAGAAAAATAACAATTCCTGCCGGTATCTTAACATTTCAGCCTGCAGGCTTGGCTGCTTCAGCTTTCACACTCACTCTCTAGCTATGTGCACCATGGTTGCACATGAAGCTCTTCCTTGCCTGCTCAGCTTAAGGGAGCTACTTTCATCAATAGCAGATTTTCCAGAAACCTTCTAGATGCACCCCTCACATTCTGCTGGCATCACCTATCAGGAAAAAAAAAAGTATATAAATAATAGTAAAACAAAAAACTAGCCTGAAATAGGTGTTCTCTTAGTGTAAACAGTAAGAAAGTGCTGCCAGTTGCTAGGGAGACGTTTTCTTCATTTTCTTTTACTAGGTTTTTATTGTCTTCTGACTTCATGAGAAACTGTTAAAAAGAACTCAAAATACCTGCAACTGTAGGATGTATAAAAATGATAAGCGAGCTGGAAGTTCTGCAAATGTCTTTTTTCTTCCCTCATTTCATGGTTAGAACCCTTTTGCTTAGACCTGCTGTGTATTTGGTAACTCCTGAAAAGGAAAGCACATGGACCCAGAAAAACAACTGGACCTTGAAGGCTGCCAGGTGCGCCCTGGTCTTTCTGAGGACAGGACCAGCCCCGGACACAGCCAGTGTGTAACACACCATTAACCATTCACCATGACTGAACTTGTCACAAAAACTACTCTGACAGCAAAGAAGATCAACAAAATCTGTAGATGCATTACTCTAACACCTTATCTTCTTCCTCCTGTTCCTTCCAGGACATTCTCAGCCTTTAGTCCACCCCATTTGTTATTTCTTTCTGCCCGTTCTCAAGTAGCTGACTTCAATCGCTTTAACACAGGAAATATAAAACTAAAATACTAAAAGAATTCGGGCGTTTATTGATATGGAACCATTCCTAAAGCTTTTGAATTATCTTTCTTTTTTATTAGCTCCTGAAAGTTTGATGCAGGCTTTGGAAGATCTTGATTATCTAGCAGCCCTGGATAATCATGGAAACCTTTCAGAATTTGGAATTATCATGTCAGAATTTCCTCTAGATCCACAATTGTCCAAGTCGATTTTGGCTTCATGTGAATTTGAATGTGTTGATGAAATGCTCACCATCGCGGCCATGCTAACAGGTACTCCGAAATAACGTCTTAGTGTTTGTGTCACCTGCCCAAATCCACGGCGACTCGTTCAAAGCCTACTCGTGCAGACAAGCCAAAGCCAAGACTTTAGTTACTTTGACTTGGCAGCCAAAGCCAAAACTTTAGTTACTCAAGTTGTTTTTACCTAAGTAAATGAGTGTCTTGGGCTATTTAAGTCTTGATTTTGAATATGCAGTGAAACACAAGTAATGTGCAACTCAGTGAAGTTCACAGACAGCACTGCCTGGGCTCCAGCCCCATGCCTCAGAGACCCCATTAGCTCAGCTTTTGTCAGAAAGCATACACAGAACATCTCATTAAAATGAGCTATTACAGARCAGAGCTGGAAATTAGTGGGAACTTATAAACAATATTGAACTGTTGACCTAAAAAGAATTACTTTATGATCTTATTGCTCCGCTTTGAATACAATAATTAAAAAAAAAACCCATAACCATAAGTGTTCAGACCATCCTGTCCTGATGGATTACACTGCTGCTACATGGCAATGTGACACAAACCAGCTGGCTCCAACCTTGAACATGCAGCGTCTGGAGACAGAACATTTATATTAAAAGTTATTAACCATAGAATTTCTTTGATTTGACAGAACTTTCAAGTTAACACATGAAAAGACAGATATTTAAAGTCCATTAAGTCTGTTAGATGGTAGGCTGCAGTTTCCAAAATACAAAGCTGCTGTTGAAGTCTGTATGTCAAAGAGGCACAAAATCAAACATAACTCGGGGAAAGTGATTTCAGCTCAAGTTCAAATAGCAAATGATGTCAAGGACTTCCCAGGATGCCACCAGATAACACAGGACAAGGCTACACCTGAGATTTTGGGTCTGTGCTGCATAGTTATTCTGGCTCCAGTAACCTTTCGCTGCCTTGCTCCTCTCTCCGCAATAGCCTCCTACCCCATGCAGGGCTCCATCCTGCCTGATCCCCAAGCCAAAACCAATGCTGAGAGCTACTGACAGCTCCCACCTCACCTGTGGAAAATCCTGCCTCGCYGTGTACTTCCCAGGGAGGAACACCCTTGCCCAGAAACGGTGSAGGGGTCTTGGGCTGCAGGAAGCCCAAGCTTCATTAGCTCTCCTGCTTATAGGATAACTTGCTTTGAGGTTTAACACTGGGCCTGTAGTTATTTGGACGAGATCATCTCTAGAGGTCCCTTCCAACCTTAACCATTCTGTGATTCTGTATTTAAGATAAAAAAATTTAAGGCCATAAATACGATGGATTGAGCATTTCAATTTTTAAAAAGCTCAAATGTCTGAAAAAATGCAGTTATGTAGCACAGTACCACTACAAGAGTAAAGTGAAATGGAAGGGCACAAACTTTTAACAAATAGAAACAAATGGGAGCATTTAATCCATAGATTCAGGGTTTTTTCCTACAGTAGAGAAACTATATGCTTAGATGCTGGATGAATGGGACAATGCTGTTAAGAAGCATCTTGGCATCTCTCTAGAAGGCCCCTCACCTTCTTCTATGCTTCTAGCACAAATAACATAAAACAAAAGATAGAAGGAACATCCACATGAGTAAAAAGCTTAGTAAGTACCACTGATTTGGTTTTTCAGTATTCCTCCAACACTGAAGATTAAAGGGAACCAAGAAAAAAAAAGCCTGGTGGTGACCGAGCACAGGGCCTTGTCTGGGTCGTGCAATAAGCATCTTATTAACTGCTGGCTTGAATCTTTCCTAAGCTCCCAACTGCTTCTCCCGGGCACCTCCTGGAACAGAGGAGATTGCTCTCACCTGCTGGCGAAAGTTCTCACACCCTGCAGGAGATCACTTCACCCTCATCAATGTCTTCAATGCTTTCAAGGAGGCCAGTGGAAGCTCCACAAACCAGTGTAAGTACATGCACAACAGACAAAATAAAGCATGCTGGTTACACATTTTTTTACAAAAGGAAAACTAGTTGTTCATATTTGGTTCATGAACTGCCCTTGGCTGATTCTTTCCAGAATCATTCACAGGGAAGAAGAAAAGCCTAAGATAGCAGCCACTGCAAACAGACACTGCAATTTTAATTCCTAAACTGTCTCATCCAAGGGGGATACATAAGCACTGTTATAGTTGTCATTTGAAGTGACATTAAATAAAAACAGAAAAAAAATAGTTCCTTCATATAATAAGCCACACCGGATCCACACTTATGAAGGCATTTGATTGCATAGCATATAATTGTTAGGATATATATATTAAAACCATATAATTGTTCACATTTCTTCGATAAGTTACAGACTAAGAGTCTGGAAAAGTTTTAAGGAAAAGTTTGGGAGATGGGAAACAACTCTCACAATACTTATGGAAAACTAAACAGAAGGAGAAACCCAAAGGGTAGATTTGAAAAATAAACAGGTGGACAGAGCTCTGGGAGTGTCCACAAAAGTGCTGTATGGAATAGGGGAATGCTCTTTGCCGAGCATTCATAACTGCTGAGAACTTTATGATCAGCTCCCAATAAAGTTCATTAGCTGAAGGCAGAGGCTTTACTTTTGTTGCCATGCATTCCATAACGCCAGTAGGTTAGAACTGTCAGCTACCTCTTTGTCCTACCATTTAAAGAGGAATTAAGACATTCAGGATTCAGACCATGCAACGTTTTGGACATAAGTTGTTAAATCTTGATTTAACGTTTCATGCAGAGGCTCAAGATAGAGGCTCTGCATCCAAGCCAGACTTCTCGAGTGCASCACAACCCAACAGGCAAGTAAGCGTCAGGATGGTTGTCCTGTCAGGAGGACCTAGCCACACACAGAGGGTAGAAGGTCCTTCCTCGGTACTGATCTGTGTCCATGAAGAATTCCAGAGTGGCTCGTGTTACGAGTGACATGTTTGGCTTCACTCACAAGGTTGCAGAGCAGACAGGAGCTCTTCCAAGTGTCTCCCTAAGTGGAAGTTCACTAGACTTGCTCACTTAGCCAGAGTCCAATGCTTAGACAGTGTAGTGGTACATTTATATACTCCAAATAATAATGGAAGTTGAGTGTCATCTGATTAACAGTTACTGTCATCTATACTGTTACACCAGCTTACAATATGTTTAACTTTGGATGTTAGAAAGTGCTAAAAAAAAAGAAAATCTATTAAGCACACTTTAAATGAAGGAAGTGCAGCATTGTTGCCTGTGAGAGACGGTGCTGAGCACCAGCTCTCTGTCCAAAGCAGGACAGCTTCATGTTCAGTGATGGCAGAAAAGAGGTCCAGGAGAACCTCCTCTTTAGCAGTTGCAGTTCCACACCCCGGCCTGGATCCAGATCACCTGGAAACAGAGCTGCTACCAACTGTTTTAAACGTTTGCACTGTTTAAAGCTAGTATTTGAAATATGGGATTTAGAATTTTAACTGCATCTTTTTGAATAAAAAAAAACAGTAAAATTAAGAATGCAAAGTTTTGCCCACAAATGTTCCCTTTACCAGCAAGATCAGCAGGCCGTAACTGTCCATATGGCACCTGTTACCAGAAGTTGGACAGCTCTGACACAGTCACTCACTCCAAAATGATTTGAATCTATTGTACCAGCCAAACAACATTTTATAGAGCCACATCACTGTGAGCAGTACCTAGCGGTATGACTGTACTTTAAGCCAAAATTGTTTTTTCCCCTCCACAGACTACAGTAATGAGAAATGGTGTCGTGATTATTTTCTAAGCTGTTCTGCACTGAGGATGGCAGAAACTATTAAAGCTGAACTAGTAGAGATTATGAGACGGATTGAACTTCCCATTTCAGAACCAGATTTTGGATCTGAAGAAAATATTCTCAGCATAAAGAAATCTCTCATATCTGGTTACTTTATGCACGTAAGTGAAATTCTTGTTGTAATATTTTGACGCATTGTTAAATACAAAACTTCCAGAGAACTGAAGTTAAGCATGRTAATCTTCTGATTTTCACAAAAGATAAAAGACTTTTCCTTCTGTGTATCAGATAAACATTTTCTGTTTCTCTGGGGTTCAACTACCACAACCTGAAACCCACACTAACGTGGAAGAGGGTAACTTTTGTCAATACGCCTTTCACTCAAAGTAACTCTTAAGAAAACTCTTAACACTATTCTCTCAGGTATTATAACATCTTTGAAGWTGTTTATGTGAAAACATTCTGAAACCAGGAAAGTGATCAGTTGAGTATCTATGTTCCTTCTGAGAGAAACTATATAGATACAAGTTTTAGTTTAAATTTAATGGGCAAAACCTGATCCATGCATCTTATATATTCAGTTAAATAACGGATAACTCTTTGCTCGTTTTAGATTGCTCGTGATGTGGATGGCTCAGGTAACTACTTAATGCTAACACACAGACAAGTAGCTCAGCTTCATCCTTTCTCATCGTATTACAACACCAGAAGGATTCCCGAGTGGGTTCTGTTCCATGAGTTTAGCWTATCAGAAGACAATTCCATCAGGGTCGTCTCCGAGATATCACCTGACCTGTAAGTGAACACTGAAGCTTCTGTCAGCGATGCCTCTGCAACCAAAGCATAATTTAAGTCACAAATGGAGTAAGGATGCGTATGTGTATCAACAGCAATGCTTGGAGAAGTCAGCTCCTGTTATCTTCTCTTCCTTTTTCTTTGTCACAAAAGTAGCTGTTTTCTGGCTCTGCTGCAAAATAGTTGCAAACCTAACTGATTCACTCAGGGTAAGGGGGGCTGGAGAGAAGTCAGTAAGGTATTCACAGCAACAAAGAACAAACTTTCTATCCTATCAAGCAGAATGATGCAGTTGGCATCACTGGAATGGTAGGGAAAGTTGTTTTGCACAYTTCAATATACTGAATATATKAAATGTATTTTTTTCTTGTTACCATATTGTTCTGTTGCTGTGTGCATCTTTAGTCTATTACTGTTTCTTTTAGTGCAGAAATACCACTGAAGTCAGCCTTTCATATTTCCTAAACTTGGCCTGTCTTTTTTTGTAGTCCATGTCTGTCACTGTAATTTATTCACTTCCTCCATTTAAAAAACACCTACCAATAGCAAAAGTTTCTTAAAAGGGAGTACATATTATAAAGCAAGACTCAAGGAAAAGTTAGAATAGGTGAAGAGTGTTCAGTGCCCTGTACACTCCCACCTCCCTGCTATCTTTTTTCCCAATGTTTTATGTGCCCAATGAGGTAAATCACACCACACAACTGTTTGAGGATTCAAGAAACAACMACAGTCTTCCCTCTGTCTACATCTCTTAGCATTGTGAATAGACATTTCACTGGCAAAGCTGCCCTGTCATTTCTCTTTCCAAGGGCTATACAAACTCCCTTCGCATCTACACTTTTACTGAGCCAAAAAGCTGCTACRTTCAGTCTGGAAAAAAAATACTACTTATTTTATGTTCAGTGTTGAGAAATGAAATACAATCACCTAAAACACTGGCTGAGGGCATTAACTGCAAGGCTACTGAAAGCACAAATCCAATGTACATCTTGTAGGGTGTTTCATTTTCGACTTTAAGTGCCAACTTGTAGGTGTCTATATCGAAGTTTTACTGGCTCTCCTGCACACAAGCCTGGAAACAGCTAGTGAACATTCTAAAATRCAATTGAATAATAATGATTTGTAATGTAATGTAATAATGTTTTATTTCCTCACCAGATTCGTGGAGCTGGCACCTCAGTACTATTTTACCAACCTTCCTCCTAGCGAAAGTAAGGATATGCTGCARGAAGTCATCAATCATTTGTCACCCGTTTCAACCATGGAGGAACAGAAAGCAAACTATGACAAGGAAGAATGTGGAAAATATCCCCAAAGTCCCACTGAACAAAGATGTATTATTCAATGACTTTAAAAAATCAAGTATCATATATTGAATAAAAATCGGATATACAATATACATTYCAATTTTAAACCTTGTTATTATTTTGAACTTTTGGTATAAAGGCATTTAACAGGAGATATTCACTTTAAGAAGTAATTTTCTTATGGAGAAGAGTTGAGAGTTGTTCGCTGAAACGACAACGTATGATGGAGATTTTGTTAAAAGAATTATTAAAAAAGCAGTTCATCAAGTTTCCTTGTAACACCAAATTCTTACTGAAYATTTAATGACATTTTAAAACACTGATTTGATTGGTATTGATAGTTTTGTCAGCTACTTTTCTTCTGTGTGTGTAAAAGAAACGTGAGCAGCACAAAACTGAACTCAAGAGCAGTCTCCTGAAGCGACTGGAAAGTCCTAGTTCTGCATCACTGCTTTATAAAAACAGTATTCACCGGAAAGCTTAGAGTGAGAGATAGTCTCTGAGTTTATCCATAATTGCATGAATCCCATCAGCTGGGATGATCATAACCGTCCGCAAAGGTTTCATTGGAACGTCATCAAAGGACCATCTGCCGCCCAAACACGTGTCACACTCCTCTTGCACAGAGTAGTTGAACTTCAGAAGAGCTTTCTAAGAAAACAAATGCATTAAAATTAAATAAAACAGCATGATAGTACATCATACCAAGAGTAAAATGACATGCATATTATAAAATAAAACCTCTTTTCTCCCCTTTCAGTAAGTCCACCAAAACAATCTAAACCAGAAATCCCTAAACTACTTTTCTGCAGAATTTAAAAGCATTTATTCTAAAATGTGATTTATGATAATTACAAGTAATCAGAAAAAAAAGACAGAGAAGAAAAAACGATGGCCCCTGTACTTGCTTGCCACGGATGGTTTTAGGTATTTTAGCAGAGAGCAAGACACTGTTCTATCATAGTAAGAAGCAGAGCCCTTAGAAGTTATTGTGCCAAGCGGCAGGAAATCTTRGGCAAGCTCAGGAATGGCAGACTTACTCAAGAGTAATCCACTAGCTTTAAGAATGAGATTTGGTAGCTCAACCTAAACSTGGTAAGAGAAGCAGCAAGAGTCTCCAGATAGAATAGGGCCTGCAATAAACACAGTGGTTTGGTGTGGGTTCTGTAYGGAAGGTCTGTAGAGGACAGAGTGTGCTCTGCTGCTGTCATGGTCAGCAGCTTAAAGTTCCAAAAATCAACCTATTTGTAAGAATAGTAATTTCTTCTCTCAAATTGCCAGTAGAGATTTTAAATATTAGCAGTCTGGATAAAGCACGGGATGTGCRCTAAGGAGAATCTTGAGCAGAATTTCAAAAAGTCCTTGAAAGCATCCAAATGACAGAGCCCTGAAAGGCATATTTACAGAAGATGATTCCTCAAGTTACTTTCTATAATGCAAATATTCATCTTTTCTGTGAAATGTATTACAACATATAGATAGTCTTTTTACTAGTTTTCCCAGACAAAATGCCTAGTGGGTAGGGAGGGGGCGGGGGGGAAGGAGGTGAAAAACCCCACAGTTAATCTTTCTAGCTTTCACACCAGTTGATTTCAGAAGTATGAACTCAGCCTCTAAGTGAAAAAATTAATCCTTTTTTTGCAAGGAAAGTTAGGTTCAGTCTCCCTACAGGTTTGCTACTTACTAACAGTATCTCAAAGCTATAAACTGACTTTTGGAAGAAACAAGTTAAAGGAGTGGCTTTGCTCAAGAACAAACAATTTGAGGAATGACAGCCCTAAACCTTCAATCAGTTCCAAGGCTGGTTATAATAGAGCTTATCTTCTGCTCACTYAGTAACATTTTAAGGAGCTGACATCTTTCTGTTTCATTTGGCTCTAAGTGTCTGCCCCACTGCATTTTATAGCATTCTAATCAACATTTCGCATGATCAGGGAAGGATATACACTCTACCTCTAATTAATTTTGCACATATACATCCAGGGAAGAGACCCACTTAATATGGTTTTCTTTTTCAGCAATCTTTCTAGTATATTTAAAAAATGCATTTTAAATATTATAGAGGATATTGGATTCAGTTTGAATCTATGCACTTGAGTTGAAAATTATTACATTTTATATAAAAGATGACAGGCCTCAAAACACCAGTCAAAACAACAAGCAGAGGTAAAAACAACAAGCAAAGGTAAATAAAAAATAGGTCTTCTAGCACACGATCTCCACAGACACAGGGTAACCAAAAGCTCCTGTCCTCACGTTTTTCCAGAACATGCTTACACAGAATTCAAACTAAGGTGCTCTAGATTGCCGTGGCAGAAACAGGAAAASCCTAAACTCACTTGTGAATAAAGGCTAACATAGTATTTCCTAAAGCTAAAAGAAACGTGTCCACTTAATTTTTTCTTCTTCTTAAAAAACAGAAATCACAGCCTTATTGTAGCCACTAACAAAGACTGTCACAAATGATTACACAGAAGAACTCTTGCCATTAACCACATGATACATGTGCAAATACTTTTATCTTGGAGGCAGTTCCAAAAATGAAAAATAGGCTCTTGACACAGTGATAATATTGTGGAATAATTTTTTTTAAAGCTCTGAAAAAAAAAAGAACACTGTAAAATCCTATGCACTTCAAATTACATTTTAATTTCCTACATCTTCCCTTCTTGATTTGGCTTGGTACCAGTCTAGTTGCGTATATAAGTTCCCTTAGGAAATTAGAAGCAGTATTTTCATCTCTGTTTCAGCACTTTATATTGATATGCTTGTTCAAAAACAAAAAAATAAAGGGAGGTGGTGATAACGGCTTGTTTGGATCTAGAAAAAAAAATGCAGCTCAGATGTAGTCTGAGTAGTTTTAAAAAAAACAGGTTTACAAAAGTGAAATGGATTAAACAGCTTTCCACACCACCTCACCAGCAGCACAGATGCAGAGTTCTGCATCTGGTGAGTTTCTTGGGAAAAATTCCCAGAGCAGCAGACTCCATTGCATCACCAAATTCTGAATGAAGTCTCAACATCTGTTTTTATGACAACAATCCAACTACGTAGCGGGAAGGAAGAGAGATCTGTTCATTTCAGTATTGACGTACATGGTAGATTGTGATTGAGATGTCAAAACAAGRATTCATCTGCATTTTTTCTTGGATAATTTTTTGATTAACTTACAGCACCCTTACAAGCTACCATCTATTGTCTGAGCTGCTATTCTTTAAACCCCCTTGTGATGTGAATCATTTCAACTCGAATTCTACTGAAAGCTATTTAAGCTAATAGGTGATACCTGCATTTCACATGCCTACAAGTCTTATTTTTCAGCAATTGACACAGCAATTTAGCAAGTCTTTCATACCTTATTATTCAGATTAAAGAGGACTACTGCTCCATTTCCTAACTAAGTAAGAATCTGAAAGCTTTGTAAAAAAACATTCAGAAGTGATTGGACATGCTGCTGAAGACCCACACTTCTGCTCATCTATTCACTGTAAAAATGCCAAAGTTTCATTCACAAAAATTTCAGCAAGACTGAGAGCTTTTCCATTCATATGAATGTCATAAGAACAAGCCAAAGAGATGGAATTCTGACAATTCTTTTAGGCCGAGACACTGAAAATTGCACCTGATCTTTCTTTTGCAGTTTCTGCTTATTTCCAGTCTCTCATGAATTTTCCCGTTATTCTCAYAGCGTTGGGGAACTGTTCAGATAGAAATGCTGCCACAGGCAGAACCTGGCAATAGTATATTTACAGTTCTGCTGTAAGCTGTGACCTTATAAAAATAGCATACTGATAAACTGATCCCAAAACAGAGGGATAATTTAATAATTTGTGCTTACCGAGAACACCTTTCAGCAGCTCTCTAAAAACAAAGCATTTTCTTCAATAAACAAAAATAGTTTGCTTGCTCAATACATAAAACTATTGGGATTTAATTGTAAAGATATATAACCAACTTTTAAGCGTTTCCTTTAAAGCTAAAGAGAATTTTTTTTTCTCCCCTTTGCAGCGTCATCAAAAAGTATTTTGATTTCTCAGTACCCAGTGTGTTACCTCATAAAAGAATTCTTCTTCTGCATTTGCAAACATTAATTGCTCCTGTTGCTTATTTCCTCCTCCTCTCTTAGGATTGCTCTTTGTGGCTTCTGTAAAGGTCTTGCTGATAAGAAGATAGTAGTGGCACTTTCCACACGGCTTGTTTTTTTTCTGTGCATCAGTCATCTCCTTCCTAGAGGCAAATAAATGGTTACATACACAATTTCAACCTTTCTCAAAAGTAAACCTCACAACATATAACACTGCATAAAGGAGATTGATAAAAGGATATTTGTAATGCATTCTATTCTTTTATTAGTATCTCAGGAAAAAAAATCATTTGCCATATGCATTCCTACTACTTAAGCATGGTAAGTATACTTTAAGTCAACATTAAAAGTATGAATACTGCCTTCTGCCCAGTGCCTTCCCCCCCGCCCCCGCCTCTAACAGAATCTTTGTTTATGGCATCCTTTTACAGACTGTTTGCCACRTGAGGCTTCTCCTGCAAAAACACTACAATATCACTTCCAGGTGGCACTACCACTGGAAAGCCAGAAGGAACTGTCATCTGTCCTCAGGTTAAACATGTTACCACTGCAACACTCCAATACCTCTAAGGCAACAAGGCAGACACCAGATTTCTAACTGTAATATCTGCTGATTACCAGCATACTATAAACAATTATCATTTTAAATTTTTTTACATCAGTATGAAAAACTAAATCAACAGTTGTTTCTTTAGTAACGCAGTACATAATTTCAAGGGTTTTCCTCTGTTTAAAGAGTTTGACTAAGAATATTTTAAAATTAATGAATACCAAAGATAAACTTTTCATGTCTTCAATGTACAGTAACGCTCTCTTCATGCAGTTTTATTTWAAAAAAAATTCTGGAGAAATATGAAGGAAAACAATATAGCTCAACATCATGTTAGAAAGACTTACTGAAGCTGCTGGTGCATGGGCAGTGCTATCTGAGGTGGTACATTAATGAATCTCTCACTCAGCAGGAGACCCACAGGCTTAGCATTATCATTCAGGATTTTATCCAGTTGTTCCACTACATGCTGCTCACAGTTCTTCTCACACCGACTCAAAATCAGCTCTTTGATTTGCTCAGCGCATTGTGTACCCTGGAATCAAAGGGTACATTTTCTTTATATCACAGAACAATTATTTACACAAGAAGAAAACCTCCAAAAGCGAACTTCAAGGGAATATTCAATAACTCTATGGGTACTTTTCTCAAGTTGTCTAAAGCATTGTATAATTTCTCTGAAATTATTATTTATCCACCTCGAAGCTAAGGGCAAACAAAGGTTATTAACTGTCAGGAATGCAGCTATGAACTAAACTCCAATACACTAACAGCAGAATTCAAAAGTTGTAAAGGAAGTAAAGAAATACAGAATTATCTAGCTTTAACTTTCTATTCTATGGTTAGCTTTATGTTTGACTGAAGTTGCATAGGACTAGATCCAAGTTAGCGAAGTACCAACCTTCCTTTCAGTTAAGTTTACGAGGCTGATAAAACCGAAGACTTCATCTATATCGTCATCATCRTCATCACCGCTGTCTTCTTGGACTTCAGCTTGCTATTTAGTAAGAGAAAAAAAAATTAACAGCTCACATTGGCATTCTGCTTCCCTTCCTTAGAGCAAAGGATATTTCTCTCCAGAAGATGTCATCTTCTGCATTCAAATCTGCACAGAGAACCTTAACTTCACAACCTTAACTTCTGGTCAAGGTTATGTAAGTGTCACATCATTGAATTTGTTGGTGCATTTGGAACTATATCATTAGCTTCTGCATCAGGATCTACAGTAAGGCCCTAGAATTGGATAGCTCATATTTAGAAAAGAGCATCTTTGTACAAGGAAAGGACACATCGTATTTAAAATCCATTTTCTTCAGCTTCCAAAGTAGGGAAGTATACCTGAGAAGTCTTAACATACACAGAGTAACAGAGTTTTGATAGAAAGGGAAAGGAAAAGCTCAAGAAAAGCCAAGCAATGATCTACTTTTGCCACAAGTCTGCTATTTCAACATAAAACATATTGTACTGTTTTCAAAAGAGATTTAGTTTTCCTACCTTGATAGTACTTCCAATATRATTCTGTTGTATTAACAAATCAGTTAATTCAGCAATGTTAACAGGAGCTTTTAGAAACAACTGGAAAACAAACAAACAAGTATTACAGAATAGTATAGTTCTAAACCTTCTTCATAATGTGGACCACTTAGGAGAACTAAGATATCATCAATTTCTCTAAATTGCTATTTAATATTCTGTATCATTTTTATTTTCAATTTAGTATTTAACATCCTTTATTGTAATACTCCRAACAGCAAAAATAAACAGTTGAAGGGCTTACTACATAATCCTCCCCAAACTAACATTCTGCATTTCTAGGCAACACAAATATTTCTAGGCTGAAACTAATACAGCAGAGACAGAAAACGACAACACACTGTGAAAGAGCAACCCTCCAGTTTCGGGTTAGAGTTTTCAAAACSACCGCACATTTATTGAAACGCTCTTTACAAGCTCATCCCCCACAAAACTATGAATCAATAGTACAAAGAGCACAAACTGATGACTTTGTGTAACTTTCTAAAGGCTGTTTCTCAAAATAAACATCAACCCAGTCCACAAAGCATCAGAGTACCTGCTGAAGTAACTTCTTTATCCCATTGTGATCATTGTCCGATATTGAATGCGCTTCAAATTCAACATTCACTTCCTGTATACAAGCAAAACACAGGATATCAAACACATGCTTGGCAGAAACCTAAATGAAACTGAACCATACAAAACAAAATAAAGACAAATACTGCTGAACATCAGAGATTTATTTCCATCCTTCAGTAACACCAGCAGTTGTTACAGTTTTTAATCACAATTTTCTCCCCACACCCTAGAGAAGCAGCCTGTTTCATAGTGCCACAAGTCTTCATTTCCATCCAGCTGCGCAAGCTAATATTCCATTTCCCTGTGATTTGAGAGGGTTTTCCTCTCTGATCCTTTTCCATATTCATAATGATAATTAAACAGACTATTTGGTGTTGATAGCAATATTTAAGTGATTGCCTTTAGCCCCACATAGGAATTCACATGGGCAACTTACACCCACTTTACCTACAAGTCTGTAAAAAAAAAAAAAAAAGTTCCAGAAAAAACAATATGAAATACACAAAATTAATTTTAAAAAGATTCTTGATAAGAGTTACCTCAACATATATCACCCTATAGATAATCAACACGTTTTGATATACTATATAGCTTTAATAAAGAATTGAGACCTGCGGCCCGAGGGCAGGCCCTGCACCGTGGGCCTCAAAGCAGGAGCACCCCTGCTAATACACGCTTTATCAAGGGAATAAAACCTGTCCCAAGGGAATAACACTTCAACGTTACTAAGCCCATATCATGCTGCAGGAAAATATAAAATATTGAAGATTGCGGAGGCCGCGGCGAGGGCAGATGGCGCCGGCCGCGCCGCGAGCGCGGCTCCCTCCCCGCCCCTGTCACCTCATCGATCCTCTCGTCCGAGTCCGAGTCGCTCGAGGTCGCCTCCGACTCGGAGCCCGGCTCGGAGCCGGACTCGGAGGCGCGCTCGTCGGCGGGCGGCGGCGGCGGGCGCCGCTTGGGCCGCGTGGCCATGTTGCGGCGCGGCGCGCAGGCGCCCCAAGGCCGCCGCACGGGCCCCGGGCGCAGGTGAGCGGCGGCGGCGGGTGCAGCGGCTCGGGGAAGGGCCCCGGGGCGGCGCTGGGGCCGGGGCTCCGAGGGGTGCCCGGTTCCTCCGGGCCGCTCTTAAGCGGCAAGGCGCGGGCGAGCGCGGGCGGCCCGCGCTGCTGCTGCCGTGTGGGGAGGGGCCGCGGCCGCCATTTCCCTCCGCCGCGGGGGCTGCGGCTCCGTGCCCCTTGCCTTGAGAAAAGGCAAAAAAAAGGGTTAAAGAATAAAAAAAGAGGCATCCTCCTCGTGTTGTAGGCACGATTTGTCTTAAAGGAAATGGAGCTTCCTCAGAGGGGCCTGCCGTGGGTCAAAGTGCGGCGGGTAGATCTCCTGCCTGCGCGGGAGCAGCTTTCATTAAGAAAAGATAAAATGTAATTCCCATGTCCAACCAATAATGTCGCATTTCACCCGGGAATTATTATTTATTTTAGACCAAAATACTCGTAACGCAGGAAAATCTGCTGAAAGGCCCTAAGTACTGAAAGCAGGAGGAGTGACCATTCATGTCAGAGCCTTGCTGACTCCGTTTAAATATCCATGCCTGATTAGTGGGGGGAAAAATAAAATAAAAATTAATATTTAATACTTTAAAAGGATATACAGTTTCAAAGTATTAAACTCTTGGGATTGTGTTTCTAAAGCCCAAAATACATCTAAGACCCTATACCCAGAATTTCTCCTGGTTGCTAACAGTAAAAGCTCAATTCTCCTCTTTGAATGCCTTCAGAAGTACTTTTAATTTTTATTTTATTTTATTTATTTTTGAGAACAGTGTCTGCTCTAGAAGAGCTTAGATCTAAATAATACCGATTCACAGGGAATGCTGTCAGTGCGCAATGGAAAGACAAATGAAAAAGAATCAAAGAAAAATGGATTGACAAAGTCTGTTCCTGCTGTAGTAAAACTGCTTCCTTGAGGATGTAACCTATATAAGTTTTCCGTTTTGGGGTTGCAGCTCTATCMGTTAAGAATCACTCTCTTTACTAAAATTGCTTCTGATAAAAGTATATYGAGTAGACTTTACCTGAGTCCTTTGCTTCTTGTGGCATGGGCACCTGAATAGCAGGAAGTTTTCTCAAAACATTGTTATTTGGTGACCTGTATACTATATGCCCTATGAATCTGGTGGATTTTTGAAATTTATAACAGCACATACTGTAGTTTGTTTTTTCATTTGTCGTTATTAAACTCATATAATCATAGTAGGAGAATATTGATAAGAAATCCTTAGTATCACAAACCCTAGCACAAGAATTTTTGAGAGTTTGTCTTGAAAAAAAATATTTCACCCACACTGTCCAATAATTCATCTCCATTTATGTTTATGATAGAGCAGACAATTCCCTTTACACTTGGTGATCAAATGTTATTGTGACCCATATACAATTGCTTATAATCAAAGCAATATTAGAAATGGTTAATATATTTTACAGCTGTCAGGGTGACAGAGGGGCAAGAAATGAAATGGCCCATTTAATTCTTTTTAGAAGCTGTGCTGTGTAAAGATAGTTCACAATTAGTTTGGGAACAGCCTTTCAAATGAAAGTTAAGTGACCTGCAGAGAGGTACTTTCTGTACAATGCTATATACAAATTTTGCTAAGCTGCTTTTAACATGAGACTTTGTTGCTTATTTATAATATGAGGGACCTATAGATCACATAATAATCAGCTTTATATTTGAATTGAAGATGTGAGGATGTTAAATTTTGTTGTTGAGTGCTGTGAATGTGAAGCATTTGTGTGTGTGCRGAGTCCATTAATTGTTCTAGATAGACATTATTTTTATGTGTGTTTTTTTTAGAAGCTTGTGAATTTCCCTCTTGAGAAAATATATAGGGATCTTGGTACTGTAAGTACTTACATGAGAGTGCATCAGATATGATTGAAGATCCTGCATGCAGGAATTTATGCACTTTTTTCTTAATGCTGTTTGATTCTAAAGCAATGTTTGTTCYTGATTCTAATCCATCTTTTTGGAAAATGCATTTTAGCCATTTGCAGGGATTCCTAGGTAAAGTCTCAGAGACACAAGCAAACTGTTAAAAATACTGTTGTTTCTCCTAACATGCCCAGTGTGGTSGGATCCTAACATCATTGCAGCAGGTTATAAAACCATGTGTGAAAGTTTTTCCATACAAAAAAATCCACTGATAATGCTCCACATTACATCATTACATTGTCTTCACCCTAGGGATGTATTTTGGTGCATTTCTGGTTAGAGAGCGTCGCATTTGTCCCCGCTTGGTATCTTTTCTGCCCATCTGTTCACATGGCTCTGCCCRCACTCACACCCATGTGTCAGCCGTGGCAGGGCTGAGCTCCCAAGGAAGAGGATTTGGGTGGGCTGCGTGGTCCAGCATGTGTAGGACAACCAAGCAGACAACCAGGAAGGACAACAACCTGCCAGCTTCYATTCGGTCACACTTGTCACCGACTGCTCCATGAACCTGTCTGAACTTTGTGCAGAAGAAGGATTCAGTGGTCGGAGACTGGCAGCTGCTGTAAAGGGCACTGTTTTTTGCAACAGCAGTAATACCAAAAGCTGAAGGATGCCTGCAGGACAAAATAAATGGTCCTGACGAATGTACAAGCTTACGGATTCCCTAGCTCAAATTCTGTTCTCTGTTGGGCGTTGGTGGTGCCTTTTTGAAGTCAATAAACAAGATTTCTTCTGGAAGACTTGAAAATAAGCCAGTGTCTTCTSAGAGTGCCAGGGATGTACAGACTTACTCAAGGAAGTCAGACAGTTAAGTCCAAAATACAGCCTGTGTGATTTCCTYCTAAAAGGGACATGTAGATAATTGCATCTTGCAGTAGTTGATGATATTTTATGACTATCTGTAATTATGTCTGGTTTCAGTGTATATTTTTCATGCAAGAGCTAAACAAAAGAATTAATGTGGTATAAGTCACCGTGTTAAGCATGGATGTTTACTCATTTGTTATTATTCATTACTTGACAMAATAATAAAGCATTAGATAGGAACTTAATTCAGTTCTAACTACATAAAGAAATTAATTATGATTCCCATTTCCCCCAGTGTACTTGAATTAACTCTGTCATGTTATTTGCAGGGTTTATTACAATACTTTGGGAAATTGCTCTTGCTAAGAAGAATTATTATCTTGTGTTATGCAGTTCAGAAGATTTGTTTTTCTAACATAATGTTGCTAACCATTATAGTTCCATCTAAAAACCTGTCATTTACCTACTGTCATAAATGTTTCATCAGCTACATAAACTATATACTTACATGTTTTGGGAGCAGGAAGGAGTGATGGGTTATGAAAATGTGTGCCGAAGTATTTTTACAAGAATATTGGATTTTTACAATAAAGACTGTTACAATGTTAAAGTGACTGAGAAATCGTAACAGCATTTCTGTACTTGTCAGGAAAAATGTAGTTTCCTAAGTTACAAACGTGTGCTGTCTGTTTCTATTAATCACAGAAGTGTCTCTAGGAATATTTTTTACGTTATGAAAAGCTGAAATATCAAAATAATAAAAATATATAGAAGAATCAGAGTAATGTCAAAATAAGTTGTATACTGCAATTTTTAACCTTAGCTTTGGCAGTGTAACTCTAGAAAGCAATCGGATATGCTTTGCTGAATTCTGTACTGTGAAAATTTGAATTTTTTTTTTTTTTTTTTTGGGATGTGTATGGTCTGAGACAAAATGTTTGTTTTGACCCTTACAGGTCCCTTCATAGGCCCTGATTTTTCAGAACTGCAAAGCCCTAAGAGTTCCCATTTGTATCAGTTTTGTGCACCGAGAATCAGTACGTCAAAGTCTAATGGTAAGAGCTCGAAAAGATTATCTTCAACTATGAAACCACATTCTAAAGTCTAGATTAAAAAAAATGAAGTTTAAAATCCAGAGTATGAGAATGCTATTTACAGCTGGTCTTTGAGGTCCRGGAGATGGTTTCCTTGGGGTGCCCTTTTCCTCCCCTGCATTTCTCAGACCTAGCTATAGAAGAACACAAGTCACAGAGCTCCTATCACCTSTGCTGGCTTGTACCAAATCCTCTTGTGTCCAGTACATTTAAGGCAGCCTTTCCTACATGAAGGAAGTTGTTGACATTTTTTTCAAAGAAAATATTTTTACCCAAACTTTTAACCCAGACTGGACCTTCTTTGATCAAGTTTTGAAGATTGCAATGCATTTCATCCAGATGAATCAAATTTAAGATGTTCTGCACTTTTGAATATTCATAATTATTTACTTTTAACTGAGTTTGCTGGAATGTAATGTGTAAGGGAAACAACACACAACTAAAGAAAAATAGCAATTTATGTTGGTTTATTCCATTTGCTTACTTTTATATTTGTTATATCTTCAAATTCAGTACCAGAGTCAACTTTTGAAGAAGAGTTGTACCTTACATTTTTTCTTATTATCTTCTATTTTAATAGCAGATGATATTATTTCAATCTTGCCTATATCCTGTAAATGTATCAATGAAGGTGTTATGTGTATTATACATAAATGCATAAATGTGTACATACATATGTCTGTATTTAAAAAATAATAATTTTGAAACACTGCCTTGCACATGCTTAGAAAAAGGGTGAGACCAAAATGCCTCAATTCTGTCAGTTGATACATGAACTCTTGCTTTCTGTAATGATGACAMTAGCATATAAACTAGCACAGAATGGAACAGAGCAGAACAGAACAGAAGAGTTATAAATAGTGGCTTATTCTCTTGCTTTGTGTGAGAGCATTGCAGAGGTGGTTACTTTTTTTACAAAACATTTCCCAGTAAAATGTGTTCTCCTGGATGCCTTTCACTGTGTGTTGTTTCTAAGCAGTATCATCTAGATGCAGCGTGTTATTTGTTGGTCTTATCAGGGTGGACATTCGTTCCCAGGGAACGTACAGTAACTGCTTACTCATTGTATAGAGAGCAGGGCCTCTGTTGGTAACCCGGCTGCTTTTGAAGCTGAGCTATTATAGTCCCTGTTCAGCAGAAAGCCCTCTAGATCTAATTTAGATAGATTCACTTATTGTGTTTCAGAGTTCTTTTGCAATTCTTAGGTGAACAATGAAGGTTCTGTTATTGAAGGACCCCAAAGACAAGGATTCAGGACCAGATCCATATGTTAAAGTGAGTAAATATTTCATTTTTTTAAAAAAAAGTAAATATTTATGTCATTTCAATATTAAATAATAGTGTTACACAGTTCGGGAAGATAGATCATTATACCTGTCTCAAGTGAAAAAATTATATGAAGTAGAAGTGGATAGCTGAAATTATATCTTCTAAGAAAAAAAAAGCCTGGAAATTGGCTGTTATTGAAGGAATTATTTTGGTTATGGGACATTCTTTTGAATATTTGAATGATTTTACTTTTAGGACATTTTATGAGAGTTAATTCCTAATAAAACCATTAAAAGTTTTGTAATCATAATTTTATCTACATGCACATAACCAGTGTTAATTCAAATAAACTTCTGTCTCAGTATCAGTACTTTGCTGAGAACCTTAACGCTGAATCAATGTGAGAAACAGTTYACATGTTGCTGAAGTGCTTTCTGCTGTTTATTTTATTCTTGTGGGTATTTCTTACTTGCAAAGGAGTTTATATTGGGTGTAAAGACTTAAGAAGATATACAAGAATATTTGCAGAACTAGGAGTTCATTTGTCACTTAGGTYCCTGTGCTGATTTCTACTATAACTACTCAATAGCTACACACAGAAGACCTCAGTTCTACTAATGTTTGTTCAGCGTTATGCAGCATTATGTATGTATTAACCTAAAAAAAMCCAAACTAGTTTCACTAGTAAAATTAGATGCCTTACAATTTTAGTTTAGGGAGAAGAAGTATTTGTACAGACTGGATCCCTTACTTTAAAAAGAAAAAAAAATATTGTTTGAAAGGTATTCAGCAAATCTGTAAACTMTTTCTCTAGGAATTAGCTTTACATGGATTGGAAGCAACATTGATTCCAGTTCTGTCATTTGAGTTCATATCACTTGAAAGTTTATTCGAAAAGGTAAGATTTATATTATTTCAGTTGTCATATCTCTAACAGAGGTTAAGTTGGGATTGCCAAGGTACAGTGTCATATTTTGATTTAATATTGCTGTTGCCCTTTATAGCACCTCTTTCTGTGTTTATTTACAAGTCTTTTATGTGGATCAGTTGCCAAGCATCTGGTCCTCTTATATGCGTAAACCTAAAACAAATGCAAACCTTTTAATTAAAACATTAGTAACGTGGAGCCCTTGTTGGGATTTTGTGCAAATCTACTATATGTAGAGTGGATAGTTTCAGCCTACTTGCAGGCTTGAATAAGATGAAAAATTATGTGAAACAATCCTCCTGTTTCTGTATATATTATGTTACCGTAACTGAATGAGTGGATAGAGACATGTTAGTGTCAAGAGTGAAGTATGGAGGGGATGAATTGGAAGTATCTCCTGTATTTTTCCCTCCCTCTTCACTATCCACATTCCACAGATTTTCAGAATTAATGTCATGTGTGCAGGTTGAGTTCTGAATTCAATATTTGTTATGTATTTATCTTATAAATACCCTCGCTGCTGATATTAATCAATTTACATATTTGCCTGTTTCTTTCTTGGATATTTGTTGAAGGATCTTTGTTCTTAAAATGATTTTAAAGAATTGATCCAATTTATTTTTGTACTCACTTGTAAATTTTCCTCTTGTATCTCCTGACGAGCAGCTGTCTCATCCAGAATGTTATGGAGGCCTAGTTTTTACCAGCCCGAGAGCATTGGAAGCCATCAAGATATGTTTAAAAGAGAATAGTAAAAGTGAAGGTAAGTGCAGATTTATATTCCTCGGTCTTTCTATTTCAGAATTTCAGGAAGTTTGATAACATGTTGTAGATTGCTGTTTACACAATGATAAAATGCAACAAATATTCAATTTATACATCTAGATTTGCTAATATATTTACTGTAGTACTAGTCGTTAGTATTTTTATCTGTATTTTCAGATTTAAACCAGCTCAKATACTCATTTAGTATCTGTATTTTGTTGTCACATGCTTAAATTTAAATGTTTTACAGCCTGGTCCAAATCTCTGAAACAGAGTTGGAGCACCAAACCAGTGTATGTGGTAGGAAAAGCTACAGCTTCTCTAGGTAAGCTGGGGCCTTAAAAAAAAAAGGCTTAGATAAATTTGTCTTTTTGTTGTAATTTCAGTAGTCTTAGTTGCTCTTCAAGGATGCTAAAGAAATTAATACAAGTGAGTTTTATACATGGATAATTTTCAACATAGGTAGTTTTATACACGCAGAACTATATGTGTTTACTTCAGCTAGGGATCTGGCTGTTGCTTTTTCATTAATTTTGTTGTAATGTGATAGCAACTAATTTAAAAAATTAAGCTAAAAAAAWAAAGTTCTTATTTGTTTTTAAACCTCATGTTGGAAATGAGATTGGATAAAAGGGATTATAATGTGGCTTTCTGATTTTAAGAAACGTGGTACACTGGCCTGTTCTACCTCCTCTAGTTAAAAGGAGAATCTTAGAGTCTCTGAGACAAGCTTGGCTATTCCCAGAATCCTTCCATTATAGTCTTCTCTTGTTTTTCTGTGTAGAGCCAAAATCAAATCTTTTATAGTAGGTTATTAGTTTTAAGTGCTGTGATKTTTTGCTCTTTAAAGAAACATTTTCATACTAGGAAAAATTTGGATCTCCTTTTTTTAGCTCACATGTTTCTATGACAGTAAACCTGAATTGCTTTTATTAAAATCAAATGAAGTTTTTCTTTGCTGTTTTTGATTGTAGTGGAAGAAATTGGCCTTATTCCACAAGGAGAAAAGTCTGGAAATGCCGAAAAATTAGCTGAATTTATTTGCTCAAGTAAGTACCAAAATCTTTGACTTAAATTGAGATCATAYATGTTACATTTTTCACAATTCTATATAGAGTTTTTCTTAGTGTATACTGAAGCAGCATATATGCATATGTTATATATATCTTATATGCTGAATTGAGCTTTTGGGCATTCTTTTAATGTCTCAAAGATTATAAAAGAAATACCTTTACAAAATATTAGTATACATGAAATCTTAGACTGAGTAATTAATTAAAAGTATTGTATGACCCAACAGGCAAAACATCTTTTACCTAAGGTCAGAGCTGTCGGGATTAGGAATTGCTGCGCTCTGCAGCAGATGAGAAACTCCTTAAGGACTGCRGGTCCCCATAAGTGACGAGCAGCCAAGCCCCAGAGGACCCTTCTCCACAATCCCCTCTTTGAGCCGAGCAGTGGCTGAGGCCAGAGCAGGTGGAAATGCTGCCAGGAGGGAAGCAGAACCGTTTGTTTTCCCCCATGGAAAGACGTGCTTGTCCGGCAGGGTTGGAGCTCCCCTCTGGAGTCCTGCAGCCCTCGTGCCCGGCCRCTCGCCCCGTCGCTTGTGGCTGGGGGCAGCTCATGGGGGTGCAGGTGCTCCATGGGGATCCAGGTTGGAAAAACAGCCCTGAGGAGGACACGGTCCTGAAGAGGGAGGAGTTACCTGCCTGGGGCTTGTTTTCSCTTGTGGAATGGCGTGGGCAATAGGAATGTAGTTCATCTCTTCTCAGATGGTTTTAGCCAACGTGTTCCTATTATATTTATGAAATATTTTTTAATTTACATGCTAAGCAGCCTCCATCCTCTGAACTGCAGATGCAGTTTTACTGCAAATGTTTTCAGTTATGTTAGGGCTGGGTCTACGATGAAGCAGGCAGCATTTGCAGCTCTGCTCAACATTTGAAATCTTTAAAATCTTGTGTATCCTTTATTAGAAGCTTGAATTAATTACAGGCTTTTGTTTTTGTATTTACAGGAGAGAAACCTAATTCATCATCTCTTCTTTTCCCTTGTGGAGCCCTCAAAAGAGAAGTACTTCCTACAGCACTGAAAGAAAAAGGTTGATCTTCCCTTAGAGCCTCATTTTAATTGTCTGCTGTGAAAAAATCTGCATCTAAAATGGTTAACTAAAATGAATAGTAAAAATTATATGTTGAAAGGCTTACCAGGTTGCACAACATGRTGTGAAGTTCTCAGATTACAGCTGCTTTATTCTTGAAGCTCTAGGAATAGCTAGGAATCTTTCACAGAAGTTTTTTTTTCTGTCTTCTTAATCTTTTTCACCTGAAATAACTCGTTCAGGCGCTATTATTATGTTGAGTGTTTTATGGAAATAAGAGAAATCACTGAAATTGCGTTCAGCCGTGAATGTGTGCTCTGGTTCCAGGTATCCCCCTGGAAAGTGTCACCGTGTACCAGACCACCCAGCACCGTCACCTCCAAGAGTCCCTGAGCAGCTACTTCTCACAGCAGGTATGAGACACCCATGCAAGGGGGGGATTTTTGGAGCTGTGGTAACAGATAGCAAAATACACTCCTCTCTCAGTGGTCTGTTGGATACCGCTGTGTTGATGCAACGGTGTCTTGCCTGTCTTTGTTTCCTCATGGCTACCAAGAAAATCCKTCAGCAAAAGCTTTAGACGCAGAGATTGAGTCCCTCAGCTATTTGTTATGGCACTKACAAAGTCTAAAATACACCTCTCTTCCTCATTTTATCTGGTGTTCACAGTACATCTGTGTTTCGGAGTGATTGGTTTAGTCCTTTGAGCTGAACAAGTCTTGAAAAGCCTGCTTTTTAGATCATACCGTATTAGAAAATACATTTAAGGAGAGATAGTCGTTTAATAGCTTAATTATTAAAAATTWCTGGTGTCACTGCATTATCACTGGACATATTTGCTGTATCTTATAAACCAGCTGTACATATCCCTCTGATATTCCCATTTATGAGTATAGTAATTAGCTCATTTTAAGTGTTCCCAGTGACAAACGATGTCTTTGCTAGAATCTTTACTAATGTTTCTTCTTTAAAACCATCTATTACATGTCATTCAGCTGGATAAAGTAAAGATTTGGAGCTACTGATAGTTGTTTTTTATTTGTTAAAGCTTAATGAATTTCCCAATTGGTAGGTGCCTACGTTATACCTAGGATTTATTAAGAAAGCAATGTTTACTTCTTGGACATGTGGCCTGCCTAAACATACTGCTTCTCTCTATAAAATATGTGCATTAACTTCCCATTGAGCTACATTCTGATTTCAAAGCTCTGCTTTTTCGAGAGGTCCTGAACGGCTGTGACATGGCCAGTCAACTTATATATTGTGGTTTCCTGCTGCTCCTGGATGGCTTTTACAGAATTTGGTCTATACCAGCTATAACATTTAGTCAATAGTACATAGGCATTTTGGAACTTTCCAAGCCCCTATTATTTGCTGCTTTTAGTACTTAGGGCCGCTMATTTAAGCACAGCACTAATAAAATTCCGAGCTTCTCCTGAGCTTTTTACTTCTTAAGTGATGCTATTGATTTAGAAAGATAACTTGTATATGTTAATTGCTAAGCAGAAAACTGAGGACAGCTCCGAAACGCTTGCCAGTGTGCTCCTGTGCTGAAGTATTTGATTAAAGGCACATCCGAATTTGTGCATTTCACAGAGTTTGGCAGATCCCAAGAAACCCTTTTGGTTGTCTTCATAGCTGCTTCTTATTTGGGAAAAACATTGCATTTCCACAGAGAGAGCTGAAAAGATTCAAGTGAAGGGGTACTGATCCACTGAGAGAAACCTAGAGCCTAGAACTGCGAGAAACCTGCTCTCACCTGTGCCTGTTTTCACGCAGGGAGTTCCTGCAAGCATCGTGTTTTTCAGCCCCTCCGGTGTCAAGTTTTGCCTCCAGCACATTCAGAAGCTTTCTGGGGATTTTATCAACCATGTGAAGGTACGTTATTTTTTTCAAAAATGGTGAAATTACTGTTCACCTTGGGCAACAGAGGGATAAAAAGGTCATTATAGCCCTTACAAGCCTTCAGTTTATGCAGGAAATGGCAGGCATTTTGGGGTTATGTCCCTGAAAACCCAGGTTACCCCTTGTTCTGCCTCTTGCTTCTTGCTGCTTAAATTCTGGTTTGAGAACCAGTAATAAAAGGCTTTTTTTTATTATTTTTTCCTATTTACTGTCTGCTCCAGTAGTTTGCATCCATAATGAAATTAGTATTTAGAGGCAATCAAAATGGTTAATTTAATAATCAAGTTTTACATTTTTACATACTCAAGTGAAAATTGCTTGTTATAGAACTTTAAATAGATCTTTATAAATACAGTGGTATTCTTCAGGCATTAGAGAGCATTCCATGCATGTTAAGATCCCTTTTTAAATTAAAATTAACTCACAAACTACGTAAGTTTTTCAAGTATAAATCATACTTTATATTAAGAGAGATGAGTATTTTCAAGAGACAAGAGATCTTTTTGGTCCTATGTGTTCTGCTCTGTGGGAGTATTCGTAAGGGAACTTGCAGAACGAGAACCTCTCTGTGGTGATTTCAAGGATCAGATCAAAATAGGRCTTTTCCTGAAATACCGGGCACAGAATCTGGATTTGCAGAAAGGGGGCTATTTGGATCTTTTTAAAAAATGAAATGAAATGGTTTTATTTTGTGTTCAGCGTGAAGAGAACAGTGCTCTATTGCATCCTGCTTCACCGTACTAATACAGATACTGTAGAATAAGTACATAAAATCATTTGAAAACATTGGGAGGTCAGAGAATCATATTGCAGATGCTTTATGCACCCCTAAAATGGGGGAGATGCGACACTCGCCAATGCCACATAACAGTCTGAATAGAATTAATGTGCCAAGAACAGCTCATTTCTAAGAAGCTTTAGGTAAGACTGACAAAGCAATGCCTTGAAAACTGAAAAGTAAACATTCATTTTGTTTCCAAGAAAATAAGTTTGCATATAAACTGGCACACTTATTGGCACAGAGACAGGTCTGCGGTGGTTATGCAGGCTAAGAGAATCAGCAGCTTTTACTCTGGCAAGTTTCTTAAGCAGTTGTTTTGCCCAGCTCTCTTGCTGTGCCCTCTTGGTGACGGRAAGTCAGAGCTGGTCTTGCTTGGGTTGGCAGTTACCCACCTGAGGTGTCTTAAAATGCTCTCCCTTCCCCTCTCTGGTGGAAATACGAGTTCTAATGCTTTGGAAGGGCGAGATGAGCGGTCACCTTTCCTGAGCCCTGGCTCTGTAGCCAAGTTAATAACCTGCAGGCAAATCTTCTGCGTGCGCGCCCTGACTGCCGTCCCTTCAGTTTGCTGCCATAGGCCCCGCGACGGCCGAGGCGCTGCAGGCGGCCGGGCTGCACGTGAGCTGCACGGCGGAGGCGCCCGCCGCGCCCGCGCTC